AGTACCCTCGCCTAACGGCAAGAGGTACCCCTGACCATGCGTACCTGAAAAATGCTTGAATTCCGCAAACCCGGGAGTAACCCCCCATCAGTTTGCTTTCCCTCTCACTCACACTGCTTCCGGATGAGCACGTCCAGCAGCTCAGCAGCGGTACGGGAGAGACATGACCTCCGCGCCTCAGCGGTCCGGGAGGAACATCACCACCTCCACACCGCGCCGACCATTGGAGAATGGACGCAAGCCTATCGGCCGCAATCCTCGTGACTCAGCCTACCGGCTATCGTCACGTCTCCTCCGGTCACGTCCGCCCCGCGCACGGTCCCTATCACGATCCCTTTCGGATCTCCTGCGATCATCTCGCCTTCGATCCCGCTCCCGATCGAGTGAATCATCATCACGACGATCACGAGCATCGTCCCTCCTCCTGTCGCGATCATCCTCGCGCCGCGGACGGTATCTGCGCCTCCTCGACTCTCTGGAATCCCTGGTGTCCACGGTCCTAACGGACCTCCGAGAAGGAGTACGGGAAACATCCGATTCCCTACGCCTCCTCCCAGATCGAGAGTTCGTCACGATCTGGTTGAGAGCCTCCAGTGCCGACGCGTCCTCACCATTCCTGATGAAATCCCTGACCTGCTTGTTCAGCACTCTGTTGGTGGAGATCGACAAGAAAGCGTCCACCACCGAACTCTCAGGCAGCACCAGGAAGTGACCCTCCACCGGGCTCGCCGCAGCCCGCTCAGCAGACTGCAGCCGGATCTCCCCGCCTTCAGGCTTCTTTGCCATCGCCTTGGAGGCAGTCAAAGGCGCTACCGCATCCTTTGCCGAAGATCTGCCAAGCGCGGAGTGAAGATCATCCCCGCTAGCTTCTCTCGCTGCCGCACCTGGTCTGCTGTCGACGTCGCCAGGCCTCGTGGACGCCTCCCGCTTTGTCGACTCCTTCGCAGCCTCGTCGGGATCCCAACGGGATTTCCTTTCTCTCTTCTGTCCTTCGGCCGACCCGCGGCTACCGCCGGGAGCGTCACCTCCTCCTGTCTTCTCCTTCTTGACCTCAACCTTCGGTTCGGCCTGCTTCGTCTCCTTAGCCACAGCTTTTGGAGCCGGGGCACCCTTCGCCTCAGAAGCTGAAGCGGCCTTCCCTCTCGGCTCGGCCTTAGGAATCGGGGTCATTTTAGCCTTGGCACTCGGCCTGGCTCCTTCAACCACCATCTCGGCCCAAGACTTCTTCGGCTGAGCTGCTGCTGTATCAACCTCCATCGGAGCAGGTCCAGCATCGTCCTTCGCCTTTGGGACAGATGGGCTACCGCCCTTACCAGATCCTTTACCTGGCACATCACCTGATTTCGGTGGTGGGCCGGAAGGACTACCGCCCTTACCGCCCTTTTCCCCTTTCTTCCCTTTTCCTTTTCCGCCCTTGGGGACCGGCTCTTGCTTGGGACCAGGACCCGGCGCAGCATGATGCACCGATTGGAGTCCCTCGATGTCCACGTTCAAAGGTTCGGGTTGACGACCGTCAAGAACCGTCCTCACCCTTTCGTCACTAACGTAGACGAACGGGTCACGGAAGGGTGCGGGAGGCTCCGACTGTCCGGCGCTGATCGCCTTCTGCACCTTGGCTATCGCCTCCTTCAACCTCTTCTTCTCATCGTACCCCGTCTCCGATACCATGTACTTCCTGAGCTGCGAAATCAACGCATGACTCTCCAGGATGTCCACGTCCTTTCGATGGGTCGGGTACAATGGGGTCAGATGACCAGCCGCAGAACCAATCACGTATGCCATCGGAATATAGAATGACAAGTACGTGTCATGACGAGCGAACTTCCTAACGGAAGTCGTCATACGCCTACCCCACTGAGCAGCGTGTCTTGGGTTGGCCCGGAAGTACTCCGTGACCGACTCAAATCTATCGACTTGGTTGGTCTTGATCAGGTGCTTTGCCACCCACTTTTCCACGAACGCATCCGATGCCGAAATCCCGGACACATAGGAGAATTGGAATAGCACCTTCGCCAGCTCATCCCACGCCGCATCGACACCTCCCTTGTCTTCACCAAGATAAGGGGGAAGTCTGATGCCGCTCTGCACCGTCATCCTTAGATCGGATGCCATTGAATAGGAAATCAAATTCCTCTTGATGACTCCGACCACTTCGGAGGGAATCCTCCTGGGCTTGAACTGCCCCATGGTCCTCACCCACTCCGGCACGATGTGGCACGTTTCGAAGTCCTTTTCCTCCGCGTTGGGGATAAAGTTCGGGTAAAAGACCGGGAGCGCGCACCCGGGACACAAGTGCATCCCATTCGGCATCAATTCCGCGCACCTCAAGCAGAACGTGGCAGTCACATTCAGCCTGATCTCTTCCCGTGATCGCTTGTGCTCTCCCCTAACGGGGGTGAAGTCACCGTAGTCCCATGCCCGATGGTACACTATCGTGTAATCATCGTACATATACGCCGCCTTCCAAGCCCCCATGTGGATCTCGTTCCTAACGGCAAGAGTCTTCCTTCTCGTCAAAAACACGGGTCCAACCAAGGACCAGTGCACCCGAAGATCCACCATTACCACCACGTACCTACCGGAGTAGTTCCGCAGCCTGTCCCTGACATACCACGAAGGCGATACCTCAGCATCCGGCGCCATGGCTCCCACAAGTGGGATCAGGCCCTCATCCTGCCTACCATCCCCAATGGTCTCGTACACATCGGGCCTCGTGATCAATATCTCGATCATGGCCTTTCCATTTCGCCTCACCCTTTGGAGCTGAACCGCCTTCCGAAAGTCCGAGAACTTCATGATGACGTATCCCACCATGGGGAGTTCATTCCAATGCATCTCATACATCAGAGATCCGCCAGGTGCATCTTCCTGAGTATACCTGTGCCTAACGGCACTGTAACTCAAGTCGCGTCCGATCCGCGTGTGCCTAACGGCAACCAACCTGGTGCTCTCCTTGAGGAGAACGCCATCCCCGTCGTACATGACCATGAGCATCGCCTCCACTTGCCCTATCGGGAAAGCTTTAAGCGTCGGAATGAAGAACTTCCAAGACATCTCAGCGTTCTCCATGCCCGAAATCTCCTTCAGGAACCAGATGGCCTGGTCACTTTTCACCCAGTTTCCAGCCTCGCGTCCGGTCTCCTTCAGCACACGTTCCTCG